GATGCTCAAGTTGTACTTCTGCTGGCTATTAAAGGGAACCATAGGAGGACTAAGGTATGTTCGTTTTCGTTATGTTATGGAATGCATCTTAATTTCTGTGCGCCTTACTGCTAAATCTGCTGTTATTATTTTAACCATTTAAAAAAAAAAAAAAGGGAATAATTATATTGAGCTGACAAAGGAGTCAAAAGGATTAATTAATTGAAATTCAAGTGTTACAAAAATCCAATAATTAAGTTACAAGTAATAAGCCTGGAACTGGAGTTCTTGTTGTAAGTAGGCTGGCTTTATGTAGACAACACACTTTTTTTCTGTTAGACTGTGTATGTATATAACTTTCAAATGTTATACTCAAAGTTACTTGAAATGTTTACCATTTCGGAAATTCCTTGTTCAACATTCTCAGAAACCGTTGTGAAATGTGAATACAAGTGTGTTCTCAAGTCTATTAAACAGTAGAAGAAGCCATAGAACTTGCCTTTTTTCTTTCAAGGCTGCTCCCTTGGTTGGCCTTAGTGATGACTGCGATCATCTGCCAATGAAGCTGTTTTGACTTTGCTTGCACAGTGAGTATGACCTGGCTTTATGGATGAGTGTACAGTTTCAATTGATTTACATCACACAAAAAAATAAATCAGATGAAACAGCGTGAGCAGATTGTGCCAGACTGACTTGATCCCTTATTTTGGACAAGATAAGTATTCTCTTGATAAGGATAACTCTGTAGATTTGATCTCTTTGGCACTCAGTAAAGCTTTTGGCGTAGTGACACATGGGGAATTGTTCACTAAGCTGAAGAGGATGAGGATTAGCAAAATAATATAAATACAGTAAGGCACAGGCCAAATGGGGGACAATGAGATGCTTTATGCTGACAGTCAGCTGGATGGATGGATGCTGCTCATGCACTTCCTCAGGGAACAGCAGCCCTTCACCCTTGGCTGAGTAGAGGGATCTGCCAGTGGGGCTCTCTGGGAGATGACACTTCGGGGCACTGCCAGGACTGACTGATGAGTGCCTGATAACCACATGAGAAGTAATTATGAGGGCATAGTAGAACATAATGTGGGAAATATGGTAAGGTAAAATGGTGTAATGCCTGCAGGGGGTAAATACAGAAATTTCTGCTATGAGCTGGGAGCTATCACCTGGAAACAGGACAAAAATTAAATCCTTTCTGGTACAATTGGGCCACAGGGTAACTGTTAGCCAGCAATGTGATGGAGCAGTGAAAATGGCGAAGCACACTAACTTACAGTTCACAGCACTCCCATCCCTTCTGAGCCCTTTATAACTGGCCGTATTTAGAACCTCATCTAAAATAGGTAATTCTACCTAGTCTGAAGGAAGCTCAATTCAGAATAAAGAGGATATGCTAAAGAATGATTGGATATGCAGAAGACCAGAGGGACAATGTAATAAAAAAGGCTAGGAGAGGATTAGGTTAGCTTTGCAGAAGGAAAGGTATGGAGGGATCATCATAAAAATCTTAAAACATCTGAGAGTGGTGAGATAGCTAAAGTCAAGGCTAGTATTGTCAGGAAAGATAAATTGATATAAAGTATTCAGAAATAAATTGAGGAGTAAAATTAGAAGTTCCTAACTGTTATAGAAATGAGTTTCTGATGTCCCAGAGGAGTAAAAAGGAAGGAGGAAAAATTAAGAAATGATGTTAATCATCTGAACTTCTGAATGAAACTAAGCAACCTAATCTAAAGTGATGAAGGAGATCTAGAGATGAGGAAGTGGTGTTGCCCAAAAAGGTCCTTCAAGGATATATTTGAGGACTGCTTAACTGAGATAACTAAACTGGCTTCCTGCTGACCTCACTCAGGTCTTAGCTGGAAGCAGAAAACCAGAGGATGACTACACTGGTTCTGTGGTCAGCAGTGGCATGAAAAGAGCGGGAGGCCAAGGATATGAAATCAGTGTTAACAGAGACTTAGCTGTAATGTATCCTTAATCCTTAATGTATAGCAAAATGTATACATGTATAATGTGTAGCAAAAAAGGCATACTGATCAGCCACTTATTCAGTTGCCCACCATCTTTCCTCACCTTTTTTGCACTGATGTTCTCTGTGAATACTTCCATGGTCAGAGTGAGTGGGTCTTGATCTCTCAGAGGCATCCCATATGTGGTCTTATGCTGGGCAGCAAGAGGAGAAAATAAGCAAGGCATTGAGAGGTGTGCAACCTCTCATGCCAGATTTACTTCTTATTCCCATAGACACCTCAAGAAAACATAGTCCAGTGACATTGCCTATTTTAAAACTTATTCTTCTAATTAGTCTTGACCTCTGTGCCTTCTTCAGAATACATTGTGAAAACCCATCTCATGCCCAGGAGCTGTTTGAACCTCTGATCCCTGCTCAGCAAAGATCTTGTTATACTCAATGAATTATTATTATTTTTTTTTTTCTGCAGAAGGTATTATTTAGAAGTGTCATTGCAGCATTTATTCCCTTACCTTAGGCTCTCCTGAACAGTTCCTTGACTCTTATGACACTTATTTCTTTATACAAGGCATTATCCAATGAGTATTTTCTAGGATTGTTGATTTTAATGTGTAAACGCTTCCTTTAAAGGTCCATTTTGCATGACTCAAGGTTAAATATATTTATTACAGAATTGAACTAGGCAACTGTGATCTGATTTATGAAGTATTGATAGGTATTTAAAAGCAATGCAAATTCAAAGGCAAGCCTTTGTGATGAATCTTAAAACAAACAAAACAAAAAACAACACAAAACGCACAGTTTTGTAAAATACATTCTGCTTCATATACATACATGATTGTTACCACGATCTCAGACACTAATGAGGCTGTTATAGACACAAACCTGTGTATTTTTGACCCTACTCTAATCATACTGTGATTTACCATCCGTGTCCTCCCACCCCATCCCCCTTCCCCTCCGGATGGTTTCTGTGTTAATACATTATCCATCTCCACCTGAGATCAGCTTAGTTATGTTGTGGATGCTTCCTACTGGTAAGCGTTTAAACAAATATAATTGCTACTATGAGAAACAAAGGGGAAATGGTGGTCAAATTATCTAAGAACATTTTCAGTAGAATAATGATTAAAAAATGAAAAACAAAAGCAAAAACAAACAAAAAAATCCATGCTATTTCCAACATAATCTGCAGAAGCAGAAACTGCAGGAGCACCCTGTGAGCTTAGGGTATATCTGTGTGCAGAGGCTCTGGGTGCAAAGGCCCCAAGGACAGCCACATTCTGAAGGGCTGTCTGGGTTGGCTCTATCAGTACTTTGAACCCCACATGATGTTACAGGGTATGGTGTGATTTTTAGATGTAAGGTGAAGGAAAAGGTGTAGACAGTAAAGTAAATGCACACAAATCTGGAGAACAGAGGGATCTTTCCATGGCAAAAATTCTAGTTTTATTTTAATTATTATTTTACTTTTAATCCCAATGATTTATTTAGGATGTTATGAATTTTTCATTGAATATAAAGCAGTACATTCACTAGGTATATGAAAAAGTAGTACCCCAAGTATGACATACCCTTTCACTGGCTCTAATTCTGACCAGTTTTGTGAGGATCCTACAGCTCATGTCCCATAAAAATCCCAGCATTGTGCGTGACAGTGCAGAGCAAGGCGACCCCATGTTTGTAACAGGGAGTGCGATGATCCTTGAGGTCCGTTCCAACCCAAGCCATTCTATGATTCCTGCAGACAATAAGATTAACAGAGTATCTGAACCTTTCCAAGCATCTGTTAGTGCTTCCTTTGTATTTTCCAGTGTGCCACTTCCTAGACTTTGGTGTTACATGTATACAAGACCTCAACAGAGGAATGTGTCCTTCTCCCTGTGCTGCGGGAATCTCGTGTTGAACAGCACTGACCATGCAAGCACTAAAGTCTAAGCTTTCTCCATGTTGAAAGATTTCAAGTTGAATTTATTCATCTTCTATGACATAAGAAACACAGAAGTTCAGGACACCTCAATCTGTGGAAATAATTCAATGCACATCTCCAGGATCTTCTAAAATGGGCAAGATTTCCCTATGTCTTTCTGGTCCAACAAGTTCAAATTACATGTGAGCATCCGTTAATGAATTATTTGTCTTACTACAAGCTTGTGACATGCTCAGATTAGCTAGAAGGGGAGAATATTTCAAGGATATATCTTGAAAGTTACCTAAAAATGGATCAGTACCATATTAAGACATGCTAAGGAGCTGTATGGTAAATGCCACATACACCATTAAGAGAAATATTGAATATGCAACGGGAAATTATTTCTTTTCCACAGAGAGGACCGCAGTCTTCAAGCAATAGTTGCTCTTCTGTTTTGGTCAAAACCAAAAGAAAGGAGAAGACACCGCAGTCTAGTGGAACGGTTCCTCCGTCTTCTCTTTTGCAGTGACCCCTTTTTACTTCACTGGCTGCTGGCAGGGGCCGGGGTCTCCGCTCGCGCGCCTCTGCTCCGCGCTGCCCCGAAGCAAATCCCTCCGGGGCGCTGCGGGCACCCGGCACCTCGCCTCCGAGCCGCAGCCCGGCGGCCACAACGCGCCCGCTGCCCACCCTCAGGACTCCGGCTGGGCGGCCTCGGGGCAGCCGCCCGGGCCGGGCTGGGGGCGGTGGGTGGAGCAGTGCCCCGTGAGGTCAGCGGCGGACGGGCCAATGAGCGGCGCGGCGCGGCGGAGCCAGGGCGCCCCTCGTGCGGCGGCTGCATGGGGAGGGCGGCGGTGGCGGCGCGGGGCGGGCCGGAGGCGGCAGCAGCGGCGGTGGTGGTAACAGCAGCAGCGGGGCTAGGGGTCCCGGTTCGCCCCCGCCCACCCGGGGGCCGAGGCTAAGGGGCGGTGTCCCGCGCGGCACAGGTGCAGCGGAGCGGGTGGGTGTAGCGCGAGGCGCGGAGCGGAGCGCCGTGCCCTGCCCCGTTGCCCTTCTCTTGGCGGCGCCCGGAGGGGGATGTGCCGGCCGCCGGGGGCGCGCCGCCCGTGGGAAGCGTGCTGCTAACGCCACCTGGGCGCCGTGGGAGCGCCCGAGGAGGAGAGGAGCGAAGCAAAGCGGGTGGTGAGGAGTCTCCGGGACCGAGGCAGGTAGGATGTGGAACGCCGCCTCCCCCGCCGGGGGGGTCTAAGCGTTCTGCTTTGGGATTTCTTCCTTCTGTACGGGATCGACCGGGCTGGTTGCGCTGCGGGGCCGCCCGGGTGAAAGTTGCTCTGTCTCAACCTACTGCCCTCCGCTGTCCTGGGGTTCGGGGCTCTGCTAGGGGCGGTGGATCGGCCCCTTCCCACGAGGCGCTGCGCTCCGGGAACGGCGAGGCGAGACGGCTGCCACCCGCGCTGCCCTTCTTTGGGCTCGCCTCTTCCGCGGGGCGCGTGCGGAGCGAGAACCGCAAGAGTACAGCGCAGCCTTCTCGTGCCGTCCTGTCCCGCGGCGGGTGCCTGCACCGCACCGCCCGGCTCGACGTGCCACCCGTTGACCGCCGGGTGTGCCGCTGCCCCGGCTGGGGCTGCCCCTACGGCTCCTTGCTCTCTGCCTGGCTCCGTGTCCGGGTGAGGGCTTTGCTGTAGCTCCGCTTCCCCCGTGGGCAGGGTGCGAGGGGCAGCGCTGCCGCCGGGTGTTGGGGCAGAGCCCGAGTGCTTGCTTAAAGCCGGAGACGACCCTGTTCTGTGCGCTATTCAAGTGTCGGGGTAGAGAAAGCCGACTGCCCTCACGTCTGTGGGGCGATAGAGCTGCTCCTGTGGGTTTCTGTATCGATTCATGGGCTGCCGGTTGCCTGGGATTACTTCTGGAAAAATGCAAATCCCAGCAAATATCTGTGCTGACCATATATAGAAATAGTCACAGGCAGAGGAACTGTAACTTCGGTATTACTGATACATGTTGACAAACTTTAAAAGAAAAAAAGAAAAAGGGGTAGGGGGGTGCAAAAAAAAATCCAGGTCTACTTGTGAGAAAGGTTTTGCTGGAGTAATGTATTTTCCCATGCTTACACACCACACTGACTAAAAGGCTCATATTTATTTATTTCATTTTAATTTATACATACGTACATACTGCAAAGTCAGTGAATGGCCTATTGATTTTCTTTCCTCTGCTGCTGTGTATATAATTTGACAGTCTGTGGCTTGCTGCCTTGTGTGGGACCGGGGCTGCAGTAGATAATGCTGCTTTGGCAGCATGGAAGCCCTGTTTGGTGGGTTTATGCATGGATGTGAGTTGGTGGTTTGTGTGGTAGCAGTTCTCTGTTGCATGGAAAAAGTACTACAGGGATTGTTAGTGTTGTGTGTCCCAAAAAGTTTTTTTGGCCCTCTTATTCTTGTCTCTTTTCAGTAGTTCTGTTATTGTCAGAAGCTTTTACATATGCAGTATTGCCTTGTAGAGGAATATGGTGATTATATTTTATAGTTCTGAATCTCACTTGAAGTAATGTGTTCTTACCTTGGTGTCATTCACCTGTTAGCAGGGTAGCTTTAGCTTTAGCAAAGAAGAATCACTTGACTTGAACTGAAGCACCACAGGCTGTTCTTTTAGGCTATTCAGATGTTGAAATCTTGCTGGATCTTAGCAGCAAAGCAGTGCAATGCTCCAGGGATAATCCAGTGTGAAATTTGTCTGAATTGCTACCAGCTGTATCAAAACAGGTTGCACATTTTCTTCTTCTCTTCTACATCTGTATGCTGCTGCCAAACCCAGAAATTGGTTTGTTTCATTCAGAAGCAAGAGAACAGAACTTATTGAAGCTGTTCTGAGCTACAAAGCCGTATCATTCTTAAGTAGATGCATTGCAACTTTCTGGAGCAGCTGATTACCTACTTTGTATCATGTATCTGGATACTGTCAAGTACAATCTACTTTAATTTATTTTACTGAGGGAAATTTAAAGTTCATCTTACTGTTGGCAATATATTAATAAATTGTAGGATGCAGGCTGTGTTCTAGAGTTGGAGTCTCAGAAGCTGATTTTCATGGTGAAAAGCAGCTGTGACTGCATGAAAGATTGCAAATTCACTCTGCTCTGTGGTGTCTGAAATTTCACTTCTAAATAGGAGTGCTAAGGATTCTGATCTCTTGGTTACTTTGTAAGCTGGGTCTGAAAAACCCGCTTACTCCTCTTATAATTCTAGAGCTATAGTTACTGCTTTTAACACTCCCCTTCTCTCCCTCTCTAAAGTCAGTGCTTGCATTTCAGTCTCAGGGCTGCAAATGATTTCAGGACCAAATCCTGAAATGCAAAAGAAAAAAAAAATCTTCTTAGAAATTTCTCTCAAATAAAACAAAATTATGGTTTTTATGTTCACGCCTTCCTTCCTCCCTCATCCCTCCTCCTAGCAGACAGAAAGCTGCATGCCTTCTTGTAGTGTCGACAATTACCATGCTTATGCGATATTATGTGACTGGAGAAGGAAGAGGAAGAGTGCAAAAGGTGCTTGATGCTGGAAGAAAGTTTAAAGTGATCTGGATGGTGGTAATTGATTTTGTTCATTATGAAATACTGGCTTCTTTGCCATGAAGAAGAGTCTGTACTCCCAACAGACAGTGCTTGAGGATGAGAAAGTATCTGTGCGGAATGTGAAGGCAAAGAAAGCTCTGCTCTGTGCATGGAAATGCATGCTTGCTGAGCTGAGTACATAATATGATAGAACAGTTTACTAATATTATTAGTATCTCTTACTGTAGTGACAGTTTCTCATTTAATAAAGACTTATAATTAGGTTTCAAAATAGGGAGCAGTATGGAGCCATATGTGAGGGAGGATACACAGTGCCACCACCGCCAGTACCTTCAGCTATTTTTAAATGCCTTTGTTTGTGCCTGTGTAACAAGTGTTTAAATACAAGCTGGAATGAAAAGGAAGATCCTGTTAACCCCGCAAGTGATCTGTTCTGCAAATTCATTCACTTTTGCTGTATCCTCCCCATCTTCACTCTGTTTCCTCTCCCAGAGCAGCTGCACGCCTGGCTGTTGGAATAGGTGAGGCTGTCACCTCCATCTGGCAGGTGAATGATTGCAAGTCAGCCACACCTCCACACAGTGACTCCATCCACCCAAAACAAAGTGCTGCAGAATGCATGGTGAAGTATATCCGTGGGAGTGCACAGTAGAAAAAAGAAATTAGTTTTAAGTTTAATCTAAGCCCTGTATACAATATTTACATTGGGAATTTGTGCTTTTTTTTTTTTTTTTTTTTTTTGTCTGTCTTTTTTGTTGTTGTTTTTGGGAGAGGATGAGTGCACGCTGTGATGCACTACTCCTTGTGTCTTGCAACACAGCCTGCATGCAAGGCTGGCTAGGAGCCTCAGCAAAGGGAGGAAAAGCCATTATCCTGAGTATAACCTGTTGAAATTGCTGTGTGTGAAACAGAGGATGAAGGATTAACCCCCTCATCTATTCTGAGTATGTGATTTCATGGTGGAGAGATCAATTAGTGTAAAGGAAGGCAGGGTTAAGTGAATTGTTTCATTAAATGTTTGCAAACTGAAGGCAAGAGCTTTACTGTGGCTGGAAGATTTTTCTGAGGGGGGAAGGGGAATCTGAAATATGTAATTTGTATTATAAATGATAAATATTCAATTACTGAAATGAGAGCTGGGGCAGTTTGGTACTTATGGAAATTAACCTCAATTGAGATAGGTACAGAGAAACATTGAGAGAACAGTTACATCGTAGATGATGGGAAAATGCTGCTGCTGATCAGTGTTCTTACCTTTCCTACTGGCTCTCGTGCTTTCCTTCTAAAGTCACCATAAACAGAAATTATTTACTTTAGAAAACTTTCATGCAACCAGATCCTGGGTTTTGCTCACTAAGGCAGCTCAGTGTGCCAAGGCAGGCCCGTGTCACTGAGCTCTGTGCCACTCGGTGTTCAATCCCTTGTCTTGTTCCTGCTGTGAGCTTGGGCCTGGCAGTGGCAGCAGTTTGTAGCAAGTCCTTGTCAGGCAATGAGTGCCATTCAGAGTGGTCAGGTTACTTTTAACAATGGATGGAGTTACGCTCAGAATAAGTGTTTCGGATTTTAATTTTTTTTAATGAGAGTGTGATGACATGCAAGGATAATCCGGTGTGTGTTGTCAGTCTGATCTTGTGCACTCCCAATATACTCCAAATGGGAGGAATGGAGAAATCATCATATGAAAGTTTATAATGTGGAGAAATTAGAGGTTTCCCTCTTTCTTCATACTCTATGAATTTATAAACAAATGGACTGGACGAGAAATATATTTTTATATAAATATTTATACATATTTCTCACTCACTTCTCATTTGTTTATATATATGTAAATATATTTACAAAACGCACACATGCATGTTTTGTGTGTGGTGTGTGTGTGTGTGTATACATAATTGCTTAGAGTCTCTGTGATAATGCTCTGGTATGCCTCACTTTTGGTAAAGAGAATAACTACTCATAGATGCTGAGATTAGATCAAAGCATTTTTTTTGTGTTTAACAATTCCTCTAGCAGTACTCATGTATGCTATTCTTCCCATTACTACCTTCCTTGCAAGCACTGCTTGTGCTGGACGTGAAGATTGAGAAGTTTGCATTGGCCCTGGAGTTCTACATCTGGCATAAAGACACCTCTTCCCTGCCGAGTCTGCAGATTGTCACAGCACAATGTTGTACCACAGCCCACTTACTCCTGCTTGTACTTTTAAACAGGAGACAGTCCCTCCAGCACCCAGGACTCCTGGCTTTTGAGAAATCTTCTTAGCATCCCTGCGTGAAGGTCAGAGGTATCATCTGTGGGAAATAACCCATGATGGTCTTGAAAGGAAAAAGAACTGTATATTATCTACAAGGATTCATAAAAATAGCTCTAAGGGGCAATCTGCCATGGGCCTTCAACTCCATCATTCCATTATAAAATAAGTATATTTATTGACTTCAGTAATTATGTGAGCTTCTAGGAGCAGAAAATACATTACTAAGGAAGTCAAGTCACTCTTAAGAAATCTTAATAAATATGTAAAGAAGCAGCAAAGCAATTTACTGCTTTAAACCTTGCATTATCAACAGTTATGTGAAGTCACACTGTTCTTTATAGGATTGAAATAAAAATTCAAGCCTAAAAACCAATGACAGATCTCTC